AGGAAAAAATAAAAAATAAATAAATCCACTAACCCATATTAGGAAAAAATATATATTTTATAAATCAAACCAAAATCAAAAAAAAAAAAAATTCATAAAGTTGGGTGACTATATTGAATTAAAATCAATTTGAGCGGTCATGACGATACTAAATATAAAATACAGTGGTTATGGGAGGATTTAACCCTATGTAAACTGCTAATTGGCGCAAAAAAAGATTCTTATTATATGGTGGCGTTACAATTTCAGGACTTATTATTTGGATATTTGCATTTGGGTACCTATTTGCACCTTTTCCTTGCAAAAATGGTCCCCACCGTCAACTTTCAGCCGTTTAATGAACGCATGCCTTATGCTTGATTTTCTTTATAAGGGTAATTTCGTCTTACTACTATCACTACCATCATCTCGTATTGATTTATTCATTTCTTAAGTTTTTTACCTCTCTCCTACCCCACCCATGACCCATCAAAAGGGAAACGTGTAGACATCAGATAGGAATTCTCTCTTGCTAAGTAAACTATCTTAGATTGTTAAAGGAATGTACATAATAATTTACATAACAGTTTACATATACATGATATGATAAGATATAATTGAATCAAAATTTTTCTAACAAAAATAAAAATAAAAATAAAAAATTATCACTCTTTTTTGACACATCATTTCTATGTAAATCATTATGTAATTCTGTAATGTACAAATAGCATTATTCAACTTTATTGGGGTTGGGACGGTGGTTTCACTATTTTACCTATCAAATGACACGTTTGTCTAAGGGAGAGTGAAATTGAAACAAATTTGTATTTATCTGTCATTATTTTTCCTTATTTAGGGCTTGTTCAAGCTCATTTAAAAAAAAAAAAAAAAATTGAACAGCGTATTGATGAGAAATGTGTGATTAAAAAATAAGAAAAATTTTGAATTTATGTGTAACATTATTTTATTAAAAAATGTGATTGAAATGGATCAAAATACTATTTAAGAATACATTTAAACAAAAAAAAAAAAGTGGACCCAAACAAGGGCTTATTGAAATATAATTATTTATTATATTACATGAGGTTTCCGTGCAATTGTGGGTAGCTAAAGGACAAGTGTACAACATAGTAATGCATGTCGTCGCCTTTATATACTACTACTACTTGCCTCCATTGAGTCCATTCAATCAAATCATAAACAACATTCTCTCTCTCTCTCTCTAAAACACCCTCTCTTCTCTCTCTATAAAACATCAAAATCCGTTGAGAAATTTCCAAAAGAATTACAGAAATGGAGCAAAATCTACCAATTATTACAAAAAAAGTTTGGAACTTAGTACGTACTATGTTGTACATGTTAAGGAAAGGTATTTCGAAAGGTAAATTAATGGCTGAACTCAACGTGGTGTTCAAACGTTGGAAGGTTGCAGGGAAAGCCATACAAAATCTCATGTTCCACCACACCCACCACTGGTCCACCACCTCCTCCTCCTCCTCCTCCGCGACTCCCGGACGCAGCAGCTCACCACTTGACTCACCAAATGAATCTGAGTTTAGCTGCACTAACAGCCCAGCTCACCCTAACTTCCATCTTCCCTTTCACCTCAAAAAACGTAAGCCCAGCAACCATCTTGTGACGGAGGAGGATTTGATGACTATGACGAAGACAGCGGAGATGTTTTACAGCGCGGAGGCGTCACCAGCTTCTTCGGGGTTTGGGAAGAGCCATATGGTTAGGCAGCTGAGGGTGACAGATTCTCCATTTCCATTGAGAGGTGCTGATGAAGATAATCAAGTAGATAAAGATGCTGAGGAGTTTATAGCGAAGTTCTACAATAATTTGAAGAGGCAAATTGAAATGGCAACCCCTCGTCGAGGGTCGTAAAGTTGAATTGCATAATTTTCATAAATGAATTGTATTATGATGTTTTGAGTATTTGAGCACTCGAAGATGTAACAATTAAATTAGTAATAATTCGAGTATTAGTATTGTAAATTTGTAAGAAAAGCAAAAAAGTTGGATGATACAATAATTAAAGTGTCTTATTTCTTACTTTTATACCGTGTTGTCCAAAAGCAACTTCTATTCTTTCTATGTTGGCAGTCGACTTGGTAAGCAACTTAAAAAGGTGTGTTTGAATAATTTTTTAAGTTTTTTTTATTTAAAAAATAGTGATGAAAAATCACGAAATGCATGATAGACTAAGCTCATGTTTGATACACATTCTTTCAAAATACATTTTTCCAAAACTCATTTTCAACCATACATTTTTCAATAAAATAATATTTTTTATCGTATCAATAATTTTTCTTTACTTTTTAATCACATATTTTTCATCATATTGTTATTTAAAATACATTCATTTCTCAATAATATCCATCAAACACCCCCTAAAAATAATTAATTGAGGTTTTCATGCACCGACGAGTCAATTTAGTTAAAGTACAATATACTAATGCATGTCGATTTCCTCCCCCTTTATATACCATTTCCCTGTGCCTCCAATCAATAAATTCAACCAATCGCTCTCTAGAAATCAATTTATCAAACACCATTCTCTTTCTAAAACACCAAAATCTATTGAAAATTTCCAAAATTCAATACAAAAAATAGAGCAGAATCTACTAGTTAGAAAAGTTGGGAACATAGTGCGGGTAAGTTAATGTCTGAACTCAACATGATTATCAAACGTAGCAAGATTGCAGGGAAAGCCAAACGCAATCGCATGTTCCACCACTGGTCCTCGACCACTTCCGCCACTCACAACCACCATGCCCACCTCTTCTCCTCCACTCACTGGCAGCCGCCGCCGCAACCAGGGACGGAGGAGGATACTCTCCATTTACATTGCAAGATGTCGATGAGGACAATCATGTAGATGAGGCTGCCGAGAAGTTCATAATGAAATTCTACAATGATTTGAGGCGGCAAATTTAAATGCTAACGCCTTGTTAGGGGTCGTCTTAATTATTCTGTGTGTAATTTTCATAAATAGATCGTATCACATGTGTCAAGTATTCTAGCAGTGGGGCATGTAATAAATTATAGTGTGAATACAATTTTAGAAATTCACCTGTTTTACAATTTCTGTTTTCTAATTTATATATATTAGAATTTTAACTGATTCTTCGATTCTTGGTAAAATTAACGAAGTAGATGGTATCCAACCCTAATTTTGAGTTTCTAACATTGCCATAAACTCATATGAATGTTTGATACGAGTCATACTTTGGAAGGGATATTGAATATAAGTTAGATATTAAATAAAAACATATTTTGATTTAGTCGTCCTCCGTAAGAGAAAAACATTTTGGTATTGTAACGGTTTTAGCAAACTTGGGTTCTGTGCACGTGCACGAGTCTTGTCATCATTCATTCATAAAATTGCACATATCAAATATTTAATTAAGAATGAATTTGATGCATACGCTTAGCGATGTCAAAAAAGCTCGCCGCTCGGGCTCGGCCCGAAAAAAAAGCCCTATCCGGGCCTGCTCGTGGCTCAGTGACGTCGAGTCGAGGATCAGGCAGAGCCCCATTTTGGGGTGTCGGCTCGAGCTAGCCCGAGCTCAATACCGGCCCATGTCACGGGCCGAGCCGAGCTGTTTTTTTATCTGGGCTCGTCATCGACCTGTGTCAATTGTCGCGGGCCGAGCCGAGCTTTTTTTTATAAGTTTAGATGTATTTTTTTATATATTAATATTTAGTTATTATTTATAATACGTATAAATTGCACAAATTTTAAATACACTATAAAAAATTAAAGATTTATAATGAATTTTTTTAAAAAAAACACGAGCCTCCTCGGCTCGGCCCGCTAAGGCTCGAGCCGAAAGCTCGGGCCCGAGCGTCATTTGTTGGCCAAGCTTTTGCTCGACTCGGGCCCAAAAAAACTCAAACATGTTTTGTTCGAGCCGAACCCGAGTTTTGAATTTCAGCTTGGCTCGTTGATGTGGTACATACGCTAGGGAGCATGTTGAGGAGCTCATCTCAAATAATTAGACCTTCATTACATGTTTCCTAGAGGACAAGTACTCCCAGAATTGAACTTCTCAACTTTTCACAATTGTTACCCACAAGAATTAAAAGCCAAGAGTTTAGGTCATTTGCTAGGTATAAGCATTAAAAATGAGAAAATCTTGAATCCTCACCACCTTTTGAACTATCTTTTCAATTCTTTTGGCTCTCTTCGAGTGTCATTTACGTACACTCCATACATATTGCGGCTTTTAAAGCAAATATTTCTTGTTTCGTGTTATAATTAACTTGAATATCCAAAGTGATTTTTGAGTAGTTACGATTGAGATTGATTGTGTATATCTAGAGGACAAGTAGCTTGTTGAATTGAATTTCCCAACTTTTCGCACTTTGATATATACCAAAATTTTAGGTTGTTTGTTAGGTAAAAGGCATGAAAAATGAGAAAATCTTGAACTCTAGTCACCACCTTTTGAACTTGCTTTCCAATTCTTTGGCACCCTTCGCGTGTCATTTGCGTATACTCAATGCCTCTATTCTAGCTTTTATTAAAACAATTTTTTCTTTGTTTCGTGTTGTAATCAATTTGATAATTGGCTGTGAAAAGAAACTATACAACATTAAAATTTACCTCTACTACTCTAACCATGTTTCTTCATATATAGTAATAGGTTGATTTTAACTTAGAAAATTTTCACATCGAATTTGAGTCTCACATATGTTTAATCAACCTCGAAATTTTAAAAAATGAGAAATGCTTTATCGAAATGTGTTGTTCAGCTTTATTATTTGTCATGTGACGTAGATGGGGTACCAAGAAACTTTATAAATAACAACGTTTGGAAGGTTTGTAGATTAGTCCTCTGAATTGTCTAATGTTTATGATACTTCCACATCGATGTGACTCATATTTTTGCATGCCATGTCGGGCATTTCATTAAGTATTACACAAACCAATAAATTTTAACTAAGTGAAAAAACCGAAATGAAATTTATGCATTGATAAGTTTATTTTCATTTCATTTGCTCTCTCGCCAATACAAAATTATCTCCATCAATTCAGATATTAACTCATAATCAATTAATCATATCATATAAACAATAATGATACCTGATTTTGGCCCCATGTATTAACTGATTGATATGTATGATTCAAACTGGATAAATATTTGGTATAAAATTCTGATTATTGACTGTGTAGCCTTCGGCACTAAGCCAAGATTGCATTGGAATTATTTTCATTTTGTCTTTTTTTTTTTTTGTCATTTGGATGTGATCCGAAGTTTGTGTCTTTCAAGCACGTCAGAGAAGAAAAACCGAAAGGAAATTGGAAATTGGCAAATTTGGGCCCAAAATTGTATACATTGTGAAAACAAGGTGCCATACAATTGAATCCACAGACCCGAAAGGCAAAAAGCATTAGCTTTACAAGACTGCAAGAAAGTGGGGGTAAGGTGGCAACCTAAAAAGATGACTTTACCAAAAAGTGTCATTTTTTTCATGCAAAGCTTTCCCCAAAACCCTCCACCTTCTATAATAATAATAAGGTGGTCCTTGAGCCCCCACGGGCATAGCGCAATGGTAAAATAAGAAAGTTCTCTACAGAGTATCGAATGTTTGAATCACCGCGACAGGTCGAAGGCAACATCTATGTTGGAAGACAACATTTATGCTGGAAGGCAGAAGTCCACGGGAAGGAAAAATGTCGAATATCCGATTCAAGTGTGTATAAACTGTTATCGCATCCGGATTAACCCGGTGGCGAACCAGGAAGGAAGGCCACCACTTCTCAAGATTAGTCGGACACCTTAGTCATAAATAAATAAATAAATAAAATAAAATAAGGTGGTCCTTGAATTTCATATACAACATCATGTAAATAATTACATACTAATGGGCCGTGCTAAGTCAATAGAGTCAATATTTTTATAGCCCGTGTGGTAATTTACAAAAATAGTTATGTCAAAATGTGTCGGACCATTCAATTCCAAGATGGCCATACACGAAAATAGCTCACTTGTAGTTGTACTGAGTTTTATATTAGGAGGTCCGCGACTTGTCTAATTGGTTTTGTACACATTGATGTGTATGCATTTTTTCAAGTAAAAACAGGTTTATGCATGTATATATGTATATATATTCTTCTCTCTCATACTCCAAGAACATACTTCCAATGATTCATCTGGTTCCTTGGTCCAACGAACTTTTAATATTTAGGTTGAGAGCAACGACACTGTGAAAAGTGTTAACCATAGGTTAGATGACAAGTGTCATGAAAAGATACAATATTCATCAACACCTTGTCTACACGACAAACCTTGCCTCGTAGGTCTTTGTAACTTGATTGAAGTTGTATGCACTGGCGGAGCCAGGGGTACAGCCCACCCCAGCCCAAGCCCAGAAGCTAGAAAAAAAAAAAATTGTTGAAGCCCAATTATCTTTCCAGCCCACCCTTTAAAAAAAAAAATTAGCCCAGTCGAAAATTAAAAGCCCAACCCAGTGACCCACCTAAAATTAAACCCAAATTCCCAATCCATCCAATACCCAAACGCGAACCCTCTCTCTCTCACTTCCTCTCTCGCTTCTTCTCGCTCTCTGCTCTCTGCTCTCGCCTCTCACTCTCAGCCTCAGCCCTCGCCCCCCAGCCCTCACGCTGCTCTCTCCATGTCCGACGGCGAAACGGCAACCCTTCCTCAACACGCTGCTCTCTCGCTCTCTGCCGTCCGTGGCTGAGTGTGAGAAAGGTAATTTTTTTTCGATTTTTTTACTGAATGTTGAATTGTTGATAGTTGATACTTGATACGTACTGTCTGGAGGCTGGAGTTGTAGTTTTGTTACTGAATTTTTTTTATTGGAGCTGGGAATAGTGTGGAGTCTGTGGACCACCGATTTCAGGACCGGGTGGTGGGGACTGTGGACTGTGGAGTGATTGGAGTCTGTGGAATTGTTTGCTTGGTTTACTGTCTTTGTGTCAATTGTGTGTTTGAATTTGTGTGTGAGTGTGTCTCAATGTGGGATTGAATTTGTACAAAAACAAGTTGAATTTGTGTGTTTGAATAATTGAATGTGCTTTAGCCTTACTGCCTAGTCTGCCTTAATTGAATTTGGAAGTGTCTCAATTAGTCTGCATTGGAAAATTGGAAATTGATAGCACATATGCTTCTAGTTCTAGTTTTTGAATTGAATTTGGAAGTGTCTGAGTCTCAATTAGGCATTTTCTTAGGAAATGTTAGTTTGGAATTTGGAAATTTAGCCAACCGCAATTTATGTAGGAATTTATAGGATATTAAAGTTTTTTTTTTGACATTTAT